AATAAATTAAATAAAAAGTTAATTCTCTGTCTTTTATTTAATTTTTATTTAATTTATTTAACTTTTTATTTAATTTACAAAAGTACAAAGAAAAGACTTACAATGCATTTTGTAAAAACAAAGACATTTTGATTTTGATGGCTGCAATACACTTCAAAAAAGTTGAGACAGGCAAAGTAAACATGACAGAATATAGAATATCCTAATTAAACTGTTTTGAAACAGTTCACAGGCAGGCCATTTGGTAATAGGTGAGGGTATCATGTTTGGGTATAAAAGGAACATCTTAGTCTTTGCAAGCAAAGCTGGATCATGGCAATACAATTAATTTGGTCAGTAAACACATTGTAAATATTTTCTTTGTACTTGCAGGAATTCTGCAGCAAGACCTTTCAACTAATCTAATCAGATTCTAAACTTGATTTTGATTTTATTGCATTTTACAAAACGTCCCCATTTCAGATTGGATTTGTACATCTGAGATGGCAGGAGGTTGAGTAAATAATGAGAAAATTAAAATTACCCAATTTACCCAATCTAACATTACTTACAATTTTGTCTTTGGGTCTCTGTCCAGCTTCCATTGCCACTGGCTGTCCAGACTGATTCTAGGCAAAAATGTAAAATTTGTATGCAAACCTTAAAGGGGTCATATGATGCGATTTCAAGTTTTCCTTTCTCTTCTGTATGTGAATTATCAGCTATTCTGTCCATTCAGTTTATTAACAGAACAAATAAATCTCACATTGGACACGAAAATTGTAGGTTTTGTTTGGATATCTACATATCTTATTTATCTAAAAGAGAAATCATATGCAATACTCACTTATCCTGGCTTGAAGAAGAATAACGGCCCCAACGGTCTGTTAAAATTTAAAATGCGCTTCGGAACAGTGACGAGTACATGTCGTCCAGTGGTTGTCCAGACAGGCTAAGCACAACCTTCAGCAATGGCCCTGAACCGTGGTCGAATGGCAACATTGTGACAACGCAGTAACAACCTCAACGACACAACGTAGAACCAACAACCTTTTAGCCATGTTGTTACAACGTTGCTAAAAGGTTGGCTACGTTGAGGCAACGTTCTGTGTTTGTTGGGAGGTGATTAACGAACATTTTTAAATTATCCACCAAATTATCAAAATGTTTGTAAGTTAACATCGATGCCACCTCAGTAAATTAGTAAAATATGAAACTGCAGTGAGTTATTGCCTACATAATATATTTTAATATAAATAATGTATGAAATAAACGTTAAAGCAGAAATAAGAAATATGTAAATGCCATCTCTCATTCAAACTCGCTCACTCCCGCTCTCTTCCAGCTCGTCGCTACTCTGCATTGGATTGTGGGAAATAGTGCTTCCGCGATTGAAATTAAGTACCTACTCAATGAGTAGGCGGTTTCGGCCGCAGCCACCGTGTGTCCGAAACCACTCCCTATCCACTATATAGTGCACTATATCGGGTGTCAGCCATTTTGTAGTGCTGTCCGAATTCTGAGTGAACTACTTCATTCCCTACATTCGTTCACTACGTTTTACCCACAATGCATTCTGATTTCGAGTGTACAACCGATGTACACTCGCTGAAGCACTGTTTCCCACAATCCAATGCAGAGTTGCAACGGGCTAGAAGAGAGAGCGGGAGCGAGCAAGTTTGAATAGGCTTGTTTGAGATGCGCCTCGCCTTGCCTGAAATGAAGGCGAGAGTAGGCGGCTGCATTGAGGGGAGGAGTGAAATAAGAGCAGGCAAGACAGACAGTTCTGACCTCTCGAAGTGAACAGATACCTACGAGATTACTTATTTTGTTACTGTCCTCTGGCACTGATTCATTCCATTAATGTTGTTCATCTTTTTCTATTTTTCTTTTACATTTGAATGTTTCTCATTGTATTGTTCTGATGTATGGCATAATAATAATAATAATAATAATAATAATAATAATAATAATAATAATAATAATAATAATAATAATAATAATAATAATAATAATAATAATAATAATAATAATAATAATAATAAAAAGATATAAAGGCAGATATCGCGCAATTCACACTCACGTGCTGTGCTGCTGATTAACATGATATGATTTCAGTTCTGTTCATGCATCTCGCGGTGATCACCGGTGATCGGTTCTGCGCAGATCTTGCTCATCTCAAACAAGCCTATTTATTCGCTCGCCTACTGCTTTTCCCATACTATATAGTAGAGAAGTAGGCAGTTTCGGACGCAGCCGGTGTCTGAGGTATTTGGTGTAACTGGGCGGAGCATACATGAATATTTTCCTGTTTTGCGTTAAAGCGACTCTGTAAATATTAGTGCGTTGTCACTGGAGCACAAAAGATGTTCAAGTTTCAGCGTAGAATGACTTTATGTTTAGAGTATAATTGTCAATATGCAAAATAATTTATAGATTGTGTCATGGTTAGTGATTGTCTAATGATTTACCTGAGGTAGGCTATGCTCCTCAAGTAAATGAGCCTACAACTATTAAGCATTTTTATAATATTCTTATTTTACCTTGAGAGTCCCTCAAATGTGTCGTTTAATAACTTTTTCAAAATGTATCTGTTGTGCCATAATAATATTTATGATGATTATTCTGTGCCATTCCTAAGCGTTTGCTCAATCATTCAAAAAAGTTTTTAATAACAAAGCGAAAACTGAATGTTTTTTACACACATGAACTGGAATATAAACATTCTTAATCTTTTTTAGCCCAAAATGATACATTTAGTGGACAAAATGCACTATATAGTTAAAGACCAAAAAAAAAGGTCAAGATTGTGAAAATCTATTTAACCACGTGATTTTTGTCTTTAATCATATACTGCATTGTGGTGCACTGTGATATAACAAACTTATAACAATTAAAATGTTTTACATTTTAATAACAAATGGCTAAATCAAACCATACAGTAATTTGCATATTTTCATTTCAAAGATAAAAGTAGATTCCTTTATCCTTTTGCTGATTAAAGACAGAAGATTCTGTGTTAAAGTTTTATTAACAGATGTGGTGAAGGCATTACATAAATAACATTTACAACACACCTGTATAAATATAAAATACGTGGTCATGTTTAAAAAAAAAAAAAAAACAGGTGAAAGCTACACAAGTGTCTAGGTGTTTAGGGATAGGCCTACTCAACACAAGCAAGCACACGTCATAGGATTTCTGTGGTAAGTAATATCTCTTATGGATCTAAAACCTATTATAAATTCCTATATGAACAACAAATGGCAAATAGAGATTTATACACCACGAACAAACTCAATGAAATAAGTCTAAATATCCACCAACATGTTCTTTTTGCCAAAACCCTTTATCCATGAAACGTGTTTTATTAGGTTGTGCTTGGTTTGATTACCTTTGATTATCTTGATGCCAAAAGTATGAATTTCAGGAACAAAATGTAGTAAAACTTTAAAACTGGTCAAATAATGCAACATTTATATCATATAGTATACGTGTTATTTATATTTTGCATTTGATTTGTTTAACTATTACAGTGATAAAGTACACATTATGTTGGTCACCATACACACAATCCTCCCCTGCATCGGATTAAAAAAACAAAACAAAAACAAAAGTTAATTCTGAGAACGTGTACCCATGTCTTCATGTATGTGTGCAAGTGTGGCCTCATATATAACGTGAGAAAATCCAAGTCTTCTCCATTAGAAGTGCTGCTGCAAACTAGGGGGGAAAAAACAGGCAAAAGTGCAAGTAGCAAACTCTTCTGATTTGTAACAGATACATTAATTACAAACAAACAGCTTCTCCACATAAACTGCATTCTGGTTGTAGGCTGTCACGCACTTCTATGTGACACCTTTTTTAAGGAGAAAAAAAAATGTAAAAAAGTTGTTACTTCCTAAGTCTTTATATTGTTCCTTATTTCGCACCTTACAGTCTTACAATACAGTGAGCAAGTTTTATTATGCCACCTATATAGGCTACACACTTCAAACGACATACTTTTAATAGCAAAACAGAGGAATATAAGAAAATATTTAACAGCCAATTACTTGTAGCATATTCTAACGATAGGCTACCTCTGGCAAATCAGTGGCTGTAATCATTGAATAAACATATAACACAGGAAACAATTTATAACATTTTGTGCACAAATTAACAATATTCTAAGCTTGCTTAACTTTGTTCGAAGCTGAAACGTAATTACCTTGTTGAAAAGTTTTTGTGATCCGGTAAAAATGCACTAATATTTTCAGTCGAAATAGGAAACTCATGAATATTCATGTTTACTCCGCCCAGTGACACCAAATATCTCAGACACCAAATATTTCAGAACACTGGTTCAAGTCGGACAAAATTTCTAACCGAAGTCAGACATTCATTCATTCATTCATAATAAAACTTAGTTTTGGAAAAATACTTTGTATTACAAATCATTATATTATTTAGCTTTCTATTAATGCAATACTATGAATCACAGCCGTCTAGTCTCCCAGCGGCTTACATAATTGGCCGTTTAGTGTTTAGTGAGTAATTTACACC